GGTTGAGGAGGGGCAGTGCAGCACTCGGCACCTCCGCCAGGCTGTTTGTCACGGAGTTTAGCGGCTAGTAGACTATGTAGATGGTTGTTTCAAGCTACAAAATGGAGTGGATGAGCTCAGGCTTCTTCAAGGAAGCTCCCCCGACCTGAGACTTGAAGAACCCTCACATGATTGATCCTAGATTTTGGGAAATTAACATATCCTCCCTCCTGCCTGGGAGGAATGACCGATGCTTGAAGTCAGTGATGTTGGAAAAGGCATGGCCGGCATGGCCTGATGGCGCGACTAGGAATCTATGCAGTTCACAACACAACTGCAAAGCTTGCCTGGGACATAAAGCCAGGTGTCAAACTCATTGACGATGGCAAGGGTTGCATTGCCTACAATGACTGAACGTACAGTGGGAGGTTTGTTGTCTTTGCAAGCAGCTTGCATCCTGCCTGAGACAACAAACCAGGTGTCAAGCTCATGGATGATGGCAAAGGTGTCATTGCCTGCAAAGACTCTGCACTCTGATGCACTCTGCACACGTCTGACTTCAAGTGATTGTGTTTGCTTTGCCTGAGATTGCAGGCCCGGTGTCAAGCTCATCGATGCCAAAGGTCCAGGTTGCGCCTGTGACGAAAGGAACAACCACTGGAAACCAGTAGTGCCCACAATAAGACTCGCCTGAGACAAAAAGCCAGGCTTTAAACTCATTGATGTTGGAAAGGGTTGCAAGGCCTGCCCAGCAAGCTTGCTCGCGAAAAGCAAAGTAACAGTCAAGTGACTAGTTGAACGGTGTTATATACCAAACCTCGCCTGCGAAAAGAGACCGGGGGTCAAACTCATTGATGTTGGAAAGGGGTGCATTACCTGCAAATTGGATGTGGATCAGAAAGCACGTTTGCAACTGCTCCTGAAGAACAAGGCTGGCAGTTCTGACGAAGTTTCACAAGAAGGAAGGATAAATACAGCGCCAACAACAGCCGCATCTGCAAACAAAGAAAGAATTGGCAACAGTGGCTCATCTCCCAGCCTCTGAGAGATTGCTAGACGTGGACATCAATGGAAAGACGCCACTGGCCCTTGCTGGCGTGCCCATGGCAGAGGCCTGGAAGGTCCATACCAATCAAATGAATTCTAGTGCGTTCCCATGGGTTCCGAGAAGGCCAGAGCATTCCCCCCCAAAAAGAGGCAGAGCAAATCAATGCCCGAAATCGCTTGTGAAAAAACAATGCCTCAAAACTATCGACCTTTCCCTATACCACTTTCTGGCCTGATCGTTCTTTGTGAGTGCCTTCTTTGCATATTATTTATGTATATATATATATATAACCATCTAAAGCGTACTCATCAAACATCAATGGACCTCAGAAGTCTCCATTCTCACAGATCTTCCCACCTCAGAGGCCGGCGTGGAGAAGCGAGTCACGGGTGGCGCAGGCGCCAGCTGTGCCCCCTGCGCCGAGCTTCGGTTGGAGAGCGTAGATTTGCGTAGAGGTTGTTGATTGGATTTGTATAAATATCATTAAATAATATTAAATATCTATGAACTGTTGACTCTCTGTGAAAGATGGTTTCTATCAAAGTCTACAGATCATCTGATTCGAAACTCTAGGATGATCATCATTGACCTTGGCCAGATTGGAATTGCTGCATCAAAAGGTAGGTAAACCGTTTATCTAGACTCATGTTCCAAATTGGCCGATTTGAGCGAATCTATTCGCAAGATATTTGTTTACAAGTTCTGTGACAAGTGAGTTGGACAGGCCTTGCAACGACTTTGGATGACTTTGGCATATCTACCATGTGTTCACCATGATCCCCTCATGTGATTGAAGGCGCCTTTGAAAATGCCGCCACTTGCGAAGGGACCACCTGCGAAGCACCTCAGATCACAAAACGGTCCAAAAGGCTCTCATTACATTTGTTACATCCTCACACCACCACCTATGATTACTTGGTCGCTTCTATAGTAGTAGGGTGGTTGAGAAGATCCTTGTTGGCAAACCGCAGCTCTCATGACATATTGGGATCCGTTGCCCGAAGTGTTACTTCTCAGAATACAAAAAGACTGCAGGTTGGACGCTGACATAAGGCAAATGGCCGCTGGGCTCCAGAGACAGAGCTCACCATGCAAATAAACTCAGAAACTACAGTACCATCAGCCATTAGCATCTTAGAATCTTGCTGGTCTCAGAACACCAAGACATGCTCAGGCCACTACTTTGCTTCAACAATCTCATTATATGCAGCCTGAGCTAAGTCTTCCACGGGGAAGTTGCTGGGCAGGTCGAGGAGCGATCCTTAGTTCAAACTCAACTTTGGTGTTTGATGTCAACTGGGCTCAATGAAATGGGACTTCACTCATCACATCATTACAGGTGTATGCATTACCGACTCAAGCCACTGGCACCATATGACACCTGTATCCATCCCAGCATGCACCAATGAAAGGTGTTAGAAAGCAGCAACGTTTTACCACAGCAGTTTCATGTGGCTCCCATCTGTACTAATCAATGGCTCGGAGCATCTGAAGATGTCGACGCTTGACAATACTTGACAAAAGGCCTTGCCAAGGCACTCCTTTGATGCACTGGCGGCACGTGGCGGAGTAGATACAACAGACAGCGCGGCCATGGCGAGAGCAATTCCACTTCAACAATGCTCACTTCAAAGGGGCGGTACCTCTCATGAAACGTCATGAATATCATCCCTGCTTCTGCTGGACAATACTTTCTTCCGTCTTGGCTCTGTAACTGTACGGCTGACCCCAAACATGCAGCGCAAAAGGCACTGTTTGGATCAAGACAAACCAGGACAAAGCTCCCAAAATCCAGCAAAGGGGGAGGACAGCCAAAAGAGCAATTCTATTTGTCTACATGGATATCTAAAGAATCACATCAACATCCTGAACTGGCTTCAATGACTCAATCAACGTTTGTGAGCAGGATTGACTAGGGCCACCCTGCCAGGCCCTGCCAGTCCTTCGCTTGGTGGCACCCTCCTGGAGGGATCCAGTGATCCTCCGCACGAGCGATGGATTGCAACTGGTGTTTGACTATTTAGTTTCAGGTGATGCAGCTTCGCTTCAATTTCCTACAGTCAGCAGTCCCTCCTGCGTTGCACAAGTAGCACCCCTTCTCGTCGCTTTCAATTCACAATTTAGCCGACAGTAATGCCTTCAATTAGAGCCCAGTGATGGTAGTGATGGTGATGATGGTGGTGGTGATGGTTGTGATGATGGTGGTGAAGCGGGTAGTGGTGATAGTTGTGATGATGGTGGTGATGAAGGTGGATGGGTGGTATTTTAGGTTTTTGTGCAAACATGGCTCTCACCATCCCCTTGGGGTTCTGCATGGTTCTACTGCAGTTTCATCAGGGACTCAACACTGCGAGACGAGAGACTGCGCCTCAAGGGCAAGTTCTCAAAGCTGGCCACCGGCGTCTGCACCGACGCCTGGAATGGAGAACGGTTATATAAGAAGGAGAAGATCCCCCCTCCTTAGAGTCTGACAAGAAAGAAGGCCAACGAGGAGAAAAGAGATGAAAGAAGGAAGGTTCTTGAGGACCCCTTTAAAGAGCCCTCACCATTGCATTTTTGCGGATCTTGATCTTGTTGTCGTGAATTAACAATTGTCTGCATACAGACTTTAAGACAAGACCTCACATCCACCCAAAGTTATGTGAACATGTCAGACTACAACATGATCAGTGATTGTTGGAGCATTGACAATCGGCTTTGAAGGTATATAACGAAACACCGGCAATCCAGTTCAAGCCCATTGTGGACGAAAGATTTATATTATGACATATTTTTGCTTGATCAGTAAATCCAGCCCAAGAACGAGGGGTCACGCCGGCCATACCCTCCTGCGGAGAGTCTGGGCAGCTCTTTAATTGCAACTGGTCCGGGATGGTCGCGCTTTGGATCAAATAGAATGGCCGAATTAGACCCAGAAAACACAATCATTTTGGGCAGTCTGCAAAGAGCACACATCAATGGTTCGGAGTCAACAGAGTGGACTTCCATCGACTTCCAGTTGTTCCTCACCTCCGTGATATCAAAGAGCCGATCCTCACCTCCGAAATTAAACCTCAGACTCCAAGGCAGGAGAGGTGAAAGCTCAAGTATTCTGCTGGTGTTTTCTCGCTGATAGCAGCTTTGGCTCCCCAACGACTTCAATGTTCCTTTCACTGACATGCGCCAGAAGCGTGGCCTTAGTTGCTCAATGTTGCTCACTTGACAGAGGGATCATTCCCGTGCTAGAAAGAGATTGCAGGGAACAAGCGGGTAGTACATATGGTCTTATCCGTCGGGAGGGAAAGTCCAATGCCATCCAACGCAGTCTTCATCTGCTCATGTCCCCTGGTTAAAGAAGAATTGTGTACACTGTACAAGGAATTCTCGATCGCGCTCAAATCTTCAATATGCTCGCTAATGATTGCTGCAGAGTTCAATGAACGACTCATGGATCCACTGAATCATGACTATCATTCTGTATCTCCAAAGAAACTACATAACCTCATAACCTCCACGCAATTATATGTGCCGCAGCAGGCCTTGGTAATCCTAACAGAAGTTCTATGAAGTTCTCAAGACAACTTCAGCTCCAAGGGTTGCTGCCGTTAAATCCGAGACCCTTCTTTGGATCCAGAAGGGGTGAGTCGGGTAAAATTAGGATTTATTGAGACTCACGTTGTTAAAACTTGTAACCAATTTGATCAAGAGTTTGAGCCAGTTTGAGCTGTCGAAAGTTTTCGTTCATCCCGCCAGGCCAAGAGCAATGCTGGGCCCCGGCAGCCCCAGCCCACCGGCTTTTTCAGACTCACCATCGCTTTGAAGACCATGTGCTTCATCGTCAAAGCACCTGTGAAATATGTTGCGTCAGCCAAGCTACCTTAGCTGGGCTTAGCGAGCTTCATATCATTTCTGGTGGGTAGACCCTTAGGATTGTCCAAAAAGTTGCAATCCTCCTTCAACCGTCTCATGACCAGACTTTTAGGGCGCGGCTGGACTAGAGCAGCTTGTCCCTGGCTGTGGCGAGCATGAAAGGAAGTTCTTCAAAGTTCTTTGCAGAGGGTGCAGCAGTGATCCTGCAATTCATTGCAAGTTGGCTTTCTTCAGTGAAATGCTGGAGTCGGACTTGAGGATAGTGATGACATGGAGCTGCAGAAGTGAAGATTCGAAGCCCAGCAGCCAGAAGGGGCTGATTTGACATGCGCACCAGCTTTCCAGCAAAGCTCTAGCAGGCCAATGATTCGCTTGCTTTTAGCTGCTGCCACTAGCACTTCCTCTTGACTCTTGACCAAAAGCATCAACATCCGGTAACATCTGGTTTGAAATGGGTTCCTTCTCGCTGGTTTGAGGGCAAACAGGACAGATTGGCCTCTGTGTTGGATCTAGCAAGCTCACATCTTCCGCCTCAAGGGGACCGTTGATCCAAGAAACATCTCAGCTCAGCAACCAAACACAAAAACACCTGAAACATCCAGAAACGAGGTTTGTAGAAGCAAAGCAATATTCGCGGTACCTTTTGAAAAGGGAACCAACACTGCTAACACTACTGTATATGGATTTTGAAACCGCGTGACACGGGCATACCAGGGGGGGGTGAGGTCACAGCAGGTTTAGTACATCGGGTTGGAACTACCTACCTGGTCACTTATGCGTGAGAAGGGCCATGCCGCCATGATCGATTAATATGACATGATATATGGTTATAGCCCTTCCAGTGTTGGAAGCCTTTGTTCCCCATACCCCAAAGACTCTGTCTCGGCCAGTAATATTATGTACATCAATACCATACCATTCCCTTCCAATCTAGGGGATGGGGGGAGAGAGAGAGAGAGACGAGTATATAACCAAATGGTACCAAAGACGAATGTCTCCATGCGATCACCAGCTCCGGATGCCGGATGCCTCGAAGATCTCCATCTCTATCTGGACACTTTGTTCCCGGAGTTGTTCCCGTAGTTGCAGCTCAAAGCCTCAGTGCAGATCAAGAGTCGGGCTTTCTGAGCTTGATGAAGCCATATGAGTGTGTGTGTTGTTTTTTAAGCGCACCCAGGCTGGGATGTTTGACTACGGTGTGGGCGGGTATGCTTCGGGGTATGCTTAGCGCAGTGCGAAGACTAAAGTAGTAGCATGGTATGCTTTGGAGGTATGCTTCGGTGGTATCTAGGAAGGCAGTGGTGATCTTGCATAGCATGTTGACACTTGAAAACTCTCAGTGTGGAAGCGGCTAGTTTCACCTGGCACTGGCCTCATCCCAGTTGATCCATTGTCAGCCCAGTGACTGGCCAGCTTCTGGGGCAGCATCGCTGCCAAACAAAGCAAAGGCAGCGACAGGAGAAATGCCAGCAAGATGGGGATCCTGCAGGTAGTGGTCAAATTTATAAAGCTGAACTGAGACTTGCAAAAGGGAAGGTCAAACATGCTGCCAAACAAAAGGAAATCCAAAACTGGGCGGACTTGTGATGTTTCCATATGTTTCCAAAGGAGTCTCCTAATTACCTAAGTTTAATTTGTTTCATTGCAGGAGTGGTCCCAGGAGGATTCTTTTTTAGTCTCGATGTATCTTGATGTCATAGGTTCTGCACCCCTCTCCTGGCGGAGACCTTTGTGGTGTGAGAGTCGTGTCCATCAAAGGGCGCACTAAAGACCTCGCCGCGGAAGGGGCGCACAAGCTCTCCGCCTCGCAGCCTCGCGCGCCTCGAACAAGAAGCCAAAGAGGATAGGGCCCACAGACTCAGCAATACTCTTGCCAGTGTTTAAGGCACCTTGCCGGGAAAGGCAAGGAAAGGCGGTCATTGAGCACAGGCCATTTTCTGTGTTTGTGTGTACTTTGTTAAAAGGAACCACAATAACTTTGTTAATGGGTTTGCGCTGAAAGATTGTAACAGTTCGTACTGGAGAAAAGGACAATGACAATAGAAGGATAGACCCTGAGAATGGCACCCCTGAAAGAACGGTGTTCCTCTAGCTGCACCGGTTTTCAGGGTCCATGGTCAGTTTTCAGTGGGGTATATCTCTTGCCACGACCTCTGCAATTTGACACGGGATTGAACACCCCGCCGAAGCTTCCGGTCCAGGGAGGAATAGCACAACATGTCATATCTGCACACTTTCATAGACAGAAAGTGAGCAACAAAAAAAACACACAAAGAAGCTTTGTCCAGAGCTTTGACACCAAAGAGCAAAAGGGTCTTGAGAGTTCTGCAGATTTGAAACCTCAAATGCACCAACGATCACACCACGCCTTGAAGGAGACCTTGCCTGAGCTGATTCCGTCCTATCGTATATTGTATTTGATTGTGATATGTCTGAAAACAATTGGAAACATCACTACACTCTTGGCAACACAAAAACTCTGCTGAATCCAGCGAACAAACTGTGGTGAAAGAATGCTGCACTCGATGTATCAAAGCTGTGTGTTTTGATGGCCAAAGCACAACCAACTGGTGACAGGTTGATGGATACTTGCTCCAAGATGTCTGCACGAGTATTGCTCGAACAAAGTCCATAGGTGTCCCATGGCCAGAGCCATGGCCAAGATTCACGACTCACTCTCTTGATTCCACTCAGGTAGGTCTGCATTTATAGGATTTCTGGTTGTCCTTTTAGACTTCCTGGGTTGGTCAAATAGGGTACAGTAATTGGGATATCATATCATTTAGAACGGCGATGGAAACAAAACTCTTCCAACCTACAGGAAGCCTGTGCGACCCACAACTCCTCCTGCCGCACTCTTCAACGGTTCAACCCCCAGCCCTTCGCCCAGCGATGGCAAGCTGCTCACTTTCAGCCACCAGCCGACTCTTGATCGCGGAAGTGGCTGGGAAAGCCAGAGCTTGTGGCCCCAGAAGCACCTGAAGCGAATGCAACGAAGAACAACACACGACTATCCCGACAGACTTCTATCGCACAGACAGACTTCTTGGGAAAATCTGATGTTTTGCTTGGAGGATGTTCTTCAATCTTTACACATGAAATCCAGCCTTTCTATGGCCCATGTCTGAAGTTCTATGCCGGCCTCAAGCCCTCGCAGCAAATCTGATGCATTGGACTGTTTTTAGGAGTTTCTCCACGAAGCTTCAAACATCAGACTCCCGTCGCCCCCACTCAAGATCTGTCTCATCTACTTCCATCCACTCAAGTCACTGGCAAGTAAGAATGATCAAACTATATCAAACATGACCCAAAGCGCTCGAGCCTACACGGATTCCCTTTGTTTCCGTGGCAAAATGTGATGCCAAAGCGACGGCATTGAGGATATAGACGTGCCACTGCGTGGTGATGAAGGCGAAGCACAACATGTAGAAGGCCCCAGCCCAAAGGGCCAGGCCTGGAACGGTGAGAGTAATACTGTATACTGTAACCGCGCAAAACATTACAAAACCACAGAAAAACAAAGTAGGGAATGATCCAATATGTGACTCACAAATCATGCTGCAGCACTCACAATCTTGACTGTTCGCCAGTCAGCAATTGCCTAGTGATCCCACATCGCCCATGATCTTGGAAGTGATGGAAAGACCAAATCCCGTCCAAACGATGGATGATGCTCCACCGATAATGATTGCCACATTGTTGCAATGCTTTGGCCATCGAATGTATTTCCTGAGATTCGGCGTCTGTTCTCAGAACATCTATTCAGGGATATCATGACTAAAACCCTCAAAGTTGCCTTGCATGAAGCTGCAGAGACCTCGACACGTACTGCCAAGGCTACTTAGACACAAACTAGCATCATGTACTATATGATGTCTTTTGTTGGATGCTAAGCCGTTGTTCGTTCCACATTCAACTTCGACGGCCAAGCCCTTGAGGGGCCCAGCAAAAGATAAGCAAGAAGGCGATCAGGGGTTGGAGCCCCTAGTAGCATTCTTGCTCCTAGTAGTACAGCCAGGAGCCCCTAGTAGCTTCTTGTTACCCCGTAGTAGCGTCCTGCTAGCAGTGGTCTTCAGGACCAAAGCAACACGGACCGAGAAAGTTTGTCTTTCAGTGACATGATGTGTGGCCTACACGCAGCTGACCTCGCCAAGGATCTGCAAGAAACTGGAGCTCACACGCTGGAATCCAGTGCCAATGAAAGTGCTACCAATGACCTGCCATTCAGATACCCTTCAACTCGAATAAGCCTTTGCAACTCACTTGAGCCATGACTCATGGCCATGACTCCTCCAACCTTTGGCATCCTGTTGATCCTTTCAATCAGATGGGACTTGGACTTGCAGTGAGTGTGACCTCCAGGGCTTTCACAAAGATGCAAATTTGAGCCTCCTTTCGGAAAGGAATTATTCATGAAAAAACAAACTTGATGGCACTGGGACCAAAGGCCTTATTGTTTAATTTTGTGGAGCCCTTTGGGACCCTCAGTTGTTCGGTTTGGGACCAAAGGAAGGCATCGAGACTGCATGACATTCAAACTTGCTGGCTGCACTAGTGTGGATAGCTGCATAAAAAGCTGGTTGCCTGAAGACAAGGAATTTGCATGCAAACATATGCAAACTATTACAATCGCATCCATTTACCAAAAAATGAATCAAAGCACGCTTCAATTGGTCCAACAAACTTAGATGTTGGCACCTCTCTTCCACATTGCTCCACATCACAAACACCAGTCTCATGAAATCGTTGGGATGCACAATCATTCACTTGCTTGGGCGCCCGGCGAACCAGAATGCCTTGGGACACGACGCTCAGAAGCGCTACCTTCATAGTCTGGTATCCTTCAACAAGGTGGTCACCACAGCACTAAAGCCATCACCACGACAAGCATCTGCACCACACCCCACGCCAGATTTTTCTGCTTTCCACACGTTGGCTTACACTTCGATACAGCATATCCTCAAACCTCCATCATCAACAAGACCCGCTAATGGACGTCTCTACTTCCACGTCTTTCTGGAGTTTTTGCCTCGCCAAGTGGCTCAAGCCAAGCCCCGGTGCGGCTGCACGCCACTGCATGGCTTGCCGCTTGGCAGGTACCAGTGTCCTGACCGTCGTCTTTCACTGGTAACCTGTGGTGTTCCCTGATGAATGATGTCTGAAACTGTTCAATGTGGGAAATCGCTGTCCACTAGCAAATAGACCAGCCGCGCTAAACTGGGGACGCCCAGCAGCGCTGGTCAAATCATTTGCAAGGATAGCAGGATGATGAAGCTATGAACATGTTCGTTAAATGGACTGTCAACTTCACAAGTTGCATCTTCCGATTGCGCAAAATCTCAGGCTCGGACTCTGGGAGACAGCAAACCTCACAAGCAAATGCTGAACCTGTCTGTTCACTTCTGTTCCATCCCTCTGGACACGTCTGTTCCACTATTTTCCACTGTCTCATTATGTTCCATTGGAATGTGGAGCAAACATTGCATGACATGTTTTCTTGCGTTTTATGTGCTTTGTTGGATCGTTTTGCCGACTTGGAGAGGGTGGCAGTCGACAGCAACCCCCTTCGACAGGTTTACGGTCGTAAGGAGAATCACCGACTCTTCACCAGGTGAGCTACAACATTCTGGGCGCCCTGCAAGGTATGGCAAAAGAATGCCCATGTCGAAGAAGATCATAGCAGCCACGCCTTCCAGCAATTTGGTGAGTGTGGAGCATGATTGAGTGAACAACCTGCTTTATGTTCTCGGCCACCGCTGGATTCAAAGTCTGAGAAAAAAATAGAGAAAGTGCATCCAAAGCCTAATTACATAGCAAATGTTTCCTGTCAGCAACAACAATATGCCCGCACTTTATCGTCCATTCTGATCAATGATAAATGGGTGTAGGCCCATATAGATGCATCCTAATTAAACTTGTTGTGGCAAAGAAGACCCTGCCAACCTGCTGAATCGCAGCAAACCAGTTGCAAGAGTCCATTCAGGATAAGTGTCAACAGGCGAACAGGAAATACAAGACCAATAGCGATGGCCTCCAACATAAAATCACAAAACGTGAATAGTACCAGCTCTTGCGGGCTATCAAACCATCAGCACGTTCCTGCAGCACGGGAGAGTGCCTGATTTCATTGAGAGGAATGCCCCAATGCCCGCACCCAGCATCCTCAGGTCAAACACAAACAGGAAATGGACCAACCTGGGTTGGGAGTATGTCTAAAATACCGCCAGGAGCCAGAGTGTACTTTGCTTTTGATTCCATAGCTCGGAGCCTGATCTTCTTTCCCTGGTCACTGGCTGTCACGAAACCAAAAAGTTAAAAACCACCTGGCTCCAAAGAAAGGCAGGCTTGTAGAGAGAGGTATATGGGTAGAAACACTCTGTGAAGTCATGAATCGTTGTATCTTGCTATCTGAGCTGGAATCCCTCCCAATTCACTGTGCCAGAGCATGCAGCTGTTTTCGGGTTTAGCCTGCAAGTGAAGGGCTTAGACTCAGACAAAGAAAACTCATTCTCTCTTGTCAAATTGCAATAAAATGCAATACACATATCAATCTGTAACCCGAGCTCGAAGATCTGGTTGTGTTTCAGGTTGTGCTGGGCGTCCTACGTGGACAGGAGCGCCACAGCACTCACAAGACCGAAGGCCACACTGCTGTCGCGATTGTCCTGCGAAGCGCCACATTCGATCATCCCATCCCTGCTCCGACATCATCCTTCGGATCATCCGTGAAGAATCCGAGAATTTTGTCATTCAAGAAAACTGGATTCTGCTTTGAGCTTTGCAATGCTTTGCATGTCTTCAATCCTTAAGTCTTTGATTCTGACCTCGACTACGTGAGAGAGCTCGGTAAAAGATGGATGCCAGGCAACAAATTCAAATATATCTTATGTCATATCATGTCATATCTATTTGTGTCATATAGGAACTCAAATCTTCCAGATGCAAATATTTGACAAAATACAATCAGAATGCTCTTCCATGACGGATGCCATGACAAATTACATTACAGTATCAAGTGCTGCAGGCTTTGACGTTGTTGGAACTCGACATCATTGTCTTGCTGACTCTCAATTCCTGATCTATTCAACGGGCTCTCCCATCCAGTTTTGGCCAACTGTTGGGCATTTGCTGCCATCCAAATTGGCACAACGTGACGTCAAGTAACCACATGGCTCATTGGCAAGGACACATCAGGAGATTGTCTGATTGATTCGTAGGACTTGCCCTTCACACCACTGAACAACAACATAACCATCCTCAGGCTGACAAGCTTGCTGGCCTCTTGACGCAAATGTCAAGGAAGCTGGAAACATCTAGAAAGCATTGCCTCAATTTGTATCCTTCATTTGGCTGCAAAAGCAGCTGAAGGAGCTTAAGTTCTTTGCCAGGTTCATGGCAACTGTTGTTTTCAAATGCTTTGCTCAGCTTGTTTGCTGGAGCTTATGAAACAAACCACAAAATAGAGCCATCTTTGTCAAAAACAACGTCCATCTTCACGTCGTCAAGTCGGTGAAAACAACCGCAAACTGGCTCTGTTTTGCAGCTAAAGGCCTGGATCTGGCGGCAGATCCGGCACCCACCGGTCACCCCCCACACTGGCATCAAGTACCGGCGCTTCGCTACCCTGTCCTATCAACTGAACAGGGCAACAAGCACAAGCTAGAAGTGCTTTCTGCCCACACGTACCCCATAAATCCTCCGAGTTGAGTGCTGCCTGAAGACATATCAGGCCATCAACAGGCCCGGACGTGCGCACGAGCCAACGATCTCGGTAGGTCATCGGTGCAAATTTGCCAGGTGACGATCAACATGGGAGGTGAATCACCTGGGAAGTCGAAAAAATCGATTAAAGCCTGGAAAAGGCGTATGAAGATTACGAAAGCGGGTCATTTTCTCATATTTACAAATAATTAGACGCGCTTCAAAGGTCTTCAAAGAACATGCGCCCCATGTGGCCTGGATGAAAACATGGAGTCATCTTGACCTGAAGCTCCTCCTCTTGCAGCTCCGACTCCTTCAAATCAACCTCCAAAAGGGCACAGCCCATGGGCATTGGCACCACATGGCTGGCATCCATGATCTGCACCTCGTCCAAATACATCACAGAAAACCAATTGGATTAGCGTGCCCAATTTGGGATTGGAGTTCTCAGGCCCTGTTGTACACTCGACAAGGGTGACCAATCAAAAACGACAAAAAAAGAGGTCGGGAGGTCTCATCAGCCGAAACGAGCGATTTGCTTCCCCGCAGCTCCAGTGCCACGCCCACCTCGACGCTGGGAGGAGCCCCATGAGGGTTCAGGCCAGTCGCCTCCACCTCATAGTGCCAGCAGGGGGTCGGAGAGGCGGCTTCAGTCCTTGTGCTGGCCAGTCCTCGTCGCCCGAGCAACCGTGAGCAACGAGGAGTGATCGAAAATAGGGTGGGTGAAATTGCGTTGAAGCGTCCTGAAACGTGAAGGATGGTGAAGGGCTCTGAGGTAGGGAACAAAGGCACACTTTGACCAAACGGGTGCTACTCCTACCATCTTCAAACGAGGAGATCCTTCTATTTAAGCTCCATCTTCAACTGTTGTATAGTCCAAGTAACTTTGCTCAGACCGCAATCCCTTGTTGAAGACCACTTCCAAGAAGCTAGGCCTCACAGCGGAGGAAAGCAAAATAATTACACCAGCATATATAGACCCCAAACAGCGTCAGCATTTTTGTCGGTCGGCGTCAACTCCGAAAATTCCAATGTTGGTGGAAATATACTTGTCTAAAGCCTCCAGCTGTTTGGGAACTGCGCCTAAACAATAATTGTTTGAAAACACCAGTTCCTGGTACCTGTGTCACATGCGCAAAACGATGGGATACCGGATATATGTCGTGAGAAGATCCGAAGTGATACCGCTTTTTATTTTTTTTCGATCACTGTGTCACTGTTGCATGTATAGCCACATAGCAGGGTACAAGCCCCGAGTAAGACGGTGATAAACCGGCCCCCACAACGTGGACAAGCAGGACAGGCAGACCTGGACAAACAACAAAAGAAGGACACGGTTTTTGCGACCGTGGCACGAGGACAGCGGGGAACACCAGGAGGACCCACAGGGTTCGAAAACGTAGCCACTAGAAGCAGGAGGAAGACACAGGGTTCGCCAGCGCGGCCAGTGAGTGTGGCCAGCTCTTTTTTTCCAAAGATAGAACCCCAACAGTAAACTGTTTGGGGAAATTCAAACTCCTCAATCTTTTGAATTCGCTTCCCACACCAAATGAGCAGTTCAAAGAAGCAACTTCTTAAAGTCAGTACAACCATGGACAACCTGACTCGGAAGAACCTCCACGGCAGTCGAGTTGGCAAGAATCAGTGGCCTCTGTGGCAGATTCATCGCACGCTCCACACAAAGCCGCAGGCACCGAGGCTTCTGGGGCAAAACTTCCTCTCGGCACCTACGAGACCAATACCAGAGCAATCCCACAGCACTGTGCTGCAGGAAAAAGAACATGTCAAAAGGTCCGAAGTTCGTTTAACAAAAATAACGAAAAAGTCCGCAGTTCGTAGGAAAGACAATTCAAAAGGCCTGAGGATTCTGTTGCAGGTACAGGTACTGTTCCGCAAGAAAATTGTTGTTGTTTTCTTTTTTAAAGCAACTTTCAGATTACACTTTGACCTAGGTTAGACTCTTTCCAGGCCTGATCACCAGGCTCCGCTCGCTTTCAGGAACAATATCCAGCTGAGAAGCGCAGTTCATCACACAGCTGTGCGGTCCTAGCCAATCCCAAAGCTTGTTCATCTGTGGGAGCGCTTGGCTCACTGCCTTCGCTTGCGCACGCACGGAGCAAGACCAGGCTCCTCATTGGCTGGTGGCCACCACATTTGGGCCTTCGAAAACGTGACTTCACCACCATTGAAATTTATACATGTTTCTTATCATTTGTGAGCAGCCGACAGTAGCCTGAATGGTTGTAAGCCAGACCTCCAGGGTGCTTCTGCGAAATGGCCATGAATATCTAGCATATGAGAGCACAACTGAATATCATGAGTGCTGCTGTCCTTCGAGCCGGCCGAGAGGCTGCGGATTGTGAATCCATTGATGCAATATGTCCGCAATTGCCAAAACCAACAATATCAGGGTTCTTTTCCTGAATATAATCAAAGCATGATGAGGTAGTTGGAGCAGTCTCGTTGAGAATCAGGTTCAAAAGCCGCAAAGGTATGAAATGGTTAGTCAGTGTTTCGAGACTCCTTCGACCGACCGTTCAATCACCAGTGTATATGCACACAAGGACGGTGCCACATTCATTCACATTCATTGTCCGCATTGAAGCAATTGTTGAACAAATCCCCCTGGCAGTGGTTCACATGAGAAATCATCAAATATGTTGGATTATGTTGGTGCGTTTTCTATATACAGTAGCTTTGTTTTCCCTGTTTTCCCAATCCTTATCCAATCAACTCACATTATCGTGAGTTTTGCGGAGGTAGACCTGTCACTTGAATGGATTTGGCCTCCGCCCACGAAAGTGAAGATCTCTTGCTGCATGCAAGGGTTCAAGGCAGGCAAAAAGTATCAAGTAAGGCTTGTGACAAGAGTGTCCTCAATGAGGTCGACGATGAAGGCGAACCATATTGCAAGGACAGGCAGTTCTGCGATGATGAGCTGCCACATCAAGCAAAAACATGCAACATGAGGGTAAATGCGTGCAATCCCTATTTTCTTCGACACATCAGAACAGCCACCCGCCAAACGACCACAACTGCCATGCCATGCAGTGTCACCAAGAAGGCGTGATATTCAATGTCCTGCATATTAAGGTTAGTTCCTACACATGCTATATTAGGTTGGAGGCCATCGCTGTTAAGTCCCTAAACTTCAAGAGGCTTTCTTTTTCCTAGGCAAACGGAGTTATAGTGTCAATAATTAGGTAAGTGACTCCATGCCTCATGCCCCTGCGGCGAGCTGAAGCCAGTGTTCTGCATGTACTACCACAGTGAATAACCACCCTCTTGGATTCTTGTCCATCAAGCAGGCAGGCACCTCATAGTACAAAACCAACCCATCTCCGTCCTCCCAGCGGCATAAGCGCAAAAGTAAAGTACATGCTGACGTTTCCTGAGGCAGTTGGGTGCCCAGGAAGGCTCACAGAGCATCCGGCAAAGGCCAATGAATGCTTTTTCGTATCCTACTCTTCCTGTTATGACCTAGCACAAACCCGATCAGCTTCCGTTCATCCAAACCAAAATGATCCGAGGAATCCAGCAACGAACCGAGGGAATCCAGCAAAGAGAAAGGAGCAAGGAAATAAGGGCCCAAATTGTTATTTTGCAAGTTGTTGGACGTACCCACAGCAATCAATGCTTCCTTGTTGTTGCTGCTCACTTATGACCCAGAATGTGTCTCTAGGACCTCGAAAATGAACAACTGGCGTGTGTTTCGTTCTACTTCAAGCACCCCTGTCACTCAACTATTTTGTGAGGAAGGATCACCTGTGCACAAGTCTATACGGCCGCCTGGGGGCATTAGTACATGTTTACAGGTTCTGATGTTCTGCATAGGCATAGAAAAGCAGCCCTCTGAAGTGATGGCCGAGCATCTGTAAACGAAAAGCGCCAGCGACACCAAAGATGGGTACCCGAGGAGACTGCAAAGCCTCAGATTCGCTGGGGCAAACACTAGTAACAAGGACGCTATTGGGTGGAGTCCATCGCAAGTAGGTTGGAGGCCATCGCTACTAGAAACAAGAAGCTACCAGTCCCAAGGCTCAACAAGCCGCCTGTAAGGCTGAAAGGTGTTCGAGTGTGTTCATTCAACAATTCTATACAATTCTTGTCAAGTTTCTCTAGTCACTCTAGTCGTGTCCTGGTAAGACAGTTGGCATGCATTCATTTGTTGAAACAAAAACCATGACGCAGTTACACGTGACCTTCGGATTGAACATTCCCGTTTGAGTTTGGCCCTGCCAAGGCAACAAACAAGCATGCAGGTCCAAACTGCCAAGGCAAATAATTAGAGACGTTGGTCTGCCACTGGTTTACAATATGCCTCTTGTTAAGACGTTAGATCCCCTGTTGTACCTAGATAAAATAGGAACTGCTCCCCACCACTTTGCCCACCGCTCCTACGGTGGATCGCCTAGATTTCCGAATCGCCGCCCACCGAATCGCCAGGCTGCAGGATCACCGGACGTCGTCCGATGGAGTCGCTGAGTGCCCCAAGGAAGGGCCCGAGAACGAAGTGAAGGAGGGAGCCAATCGCACCTACATGCCATGTCACCGCAACCACCACCATGCAGACCACCATCCAAAACCACTGTGCAGGCCTCTGGATGGAATGGGTGTGTAATCGGAATTGGGGGCTGGGTATGGTGTATGAGCCGAGTGTGCCATGCACCATGTTTTGAGGTGGTGACCGTGAACGACAGGAACTGCGACGAAGAAGAGCAGCGAATCTTCTTTCGTGCAGTTGGCCTGTACTGAAGAGGTGACGTGTGACAAATACGTTTGCTTTTACAGTTGCCACCAAGTTGATTCAAACCATAGAGGCGCTTGTGACGGCAGTCAAGATAGCGGTCTGTGGACTCCATGCAGCTGTGCCCCCTGCTGGTGGGTACCCAGCGCAATCCCCCTTGTTGTAGTTGCTTGCTTTTGCAATGTTGCAAAGCAGATTTCCTGCAGCACGTTGCAGTTTCCTTGTGTGAAGCATGGGACATTCCGCTTTTGGAATTGCACTTAGGGTGGTTGGTTTGTAGTTGCTGCCTACAGTTTCTGATGAAGGTAGCTGCTGTCAACGGACTGTTCTTTGCTTGTGTCTTGGCCACACATCTTTGCGCAGCGATTGATCAGCAGTGGCACGGCTGAGCTTGAGTCTTTTGTAAAGCCGGTTTTGCTTACGCAGCGAGACTCAGTGCCGCTGCTTTACCGTTGTTGTTTGGTGTGGCTGCAGGTGTTTTTTCACAATTTAGTGCAGGTAGGCTTCTGGCAAAACCAATGGCCGCATGAGGTGTAAAAATGGTTGAGATGGCTTATTGCTAATCCTTCCAGTTGTCCCAACTAAAAACAGCTAAAGCTTCAAGGATCAATGCATCATGCGCTTTGACTGACAGCAAACCGTGGCTCACAAGTCCTACCTATGGTGGTGGCCCAGAAGAGGTTGTCGTTGATGGCAGCCTGCAGCAGAAAAATCATCAAACATACATCCCAGAAGCTGGGACCTTTTTCTATCGTCCATAGTTCATAATATATGTTTTTTGTTGAGGAACTTGGAATGCGTACATTTCCTAAGATGCCTTCGAGCTTCACGTTTCACGCGATCTAAAGACCGTGAACCCGGTCCCGGCCTGGCAGTATGGTGCTTCAGGCGTGTCCTCACATCGTATGTCTTCCGGCCTCACAAATCAATGCACTTGAATGCCGAAGGTTTAGGACTTCGCTCGAGGCGGTATTTTCCGTCGCACGTGGCATGGGCTTTGGGTTAATGGGAAAACTGACTTCTTTCGGTGTGTCAATGCACTTGGAAAGCTCTTGGGAAGGCTCCCTAACTGGTTCCGTCTCTGAAGTGTCTCATGTGACAAATCCTTGGGTTGATGGAAACGACGTGCTGATTGACACATCCTATCCAATTCTAGCGTTTCAATCTTTTGATGCATCTGCAAGAGCAATTGACTGCTGTTCCATGGATTCTACACGCCTCAAGTCGGTGTGTTGCTGAGCAAAGAAATTCAAGCCTCAGTGCGAGAAGCCAACTTGTTCTATGTTTCTCGTGTTTCGGCAACATCGACTTCCGCGGCAGCGACTTCCCAGCGACTGCCCTTCTCTGCAGTCGCCCTTCTGTCCGACAGAGTCGGACTTGGATCGCTTGATGGGCCACATGGGGTTTGTTTGCGTTTCTTTCGCATAATTGCTCGCAGTCAAGCAACCAAGATAGGATAGATTCGTAGTTCTGATCCCTGCACTGATGCTACCAAACAGCACAGGAACCCAAAGGGCATGTAGTTGCCGAGCTACCTGCAGAACGAACAGCGGCATGTGACGTATGACGCACGTCAGGTTCCAAAACCCATTTTGCCAATGTAAGCTTCAATCCTTTGGAATCCTTTGGATGAGTAGCCTGGTCTGGTTTTCTCGTGATTCTCTGTGGAAGAAGTGAGGACGTGATCTCTTGATGTCTTTCGAGGAAAACTTGCTATCCCCAAATGGCCTTCCACAGCTCAAAGGTCCCAGTGTCCTGGTAGTGAACTTGTCGAATCCATGCTGAGCTTCGTTCCGGAGATGGGAGATGACTGAGATTATCCACTTCGCAGCAAAGTGAACTGCTCAGAACAGTAAGCAAACAGAGAGTCACTTCGCAGCAAAGTGAACAGCTCAGAACAGTAAGCAAACAGAGAGTGCCTCTGACTCTACATCGCTTTGGGCTGGAAATTGATATTCATATTATTATTGCTACAGTACCAAGTGCACATACCGGTTTTCGTAAATCCTCAGCAGCCTGGTGTTGAATTTCATTGATTCATGGTTCGTTCTTTTCTCGTTCCACTTTCCAAAGGTCGTGGCTGACCAGTGCAAGGACCAGCACCATTGATTGAAGCAATGAACAGCCGTCAACTGTCTGCCCTCAGGTGGAAACAAACCTATTCATGCTGCCAAGACATCTCCCCCACCAAGACATCTCCTCTCGCGGAGTCTCCACGCGGGCTGGACCCATCAGCTCTTCCAGTGGCTCATGGCAATCCAAACGCGGTCCAAACGCGGTGAGGTATAGAGATACCAACTAGGCTACGGTCACTAATTGTGGTGCGTTGTCACCCTTGGACGCCCTTTGGTGCTACGTTCAAAGCGCCCGTTTGCTTCTTCATGCCTGATCCCTGTTTGGTGAGGTTTGGGAACTTCACTTGAAAGGTATGTTTCACTTCGTTGAGGCAGCACCTCATACTCTCCTTTGATGCGGTGTACGCTCACGCACATATCCCTATGCCATCCAAAAGGCTCGCTGCGCTTGAGTCTGTCTTGCTGGGCTTACCAAAGTAGCTGAAATGTGCTGAGGCATGTTGCGGAAGTATCTGCAACATGCTGCAACTATCTTGTCCAGGACCTGACACTCCAGAATCAGAATGAGCAAACACTACAGGTCGCAGGCAATCGAGACATCTCACTCGCGAAGGCAGTCTCGAAGGCAGCCAAGACCTCCATGGAGGTCTCGTGCACTTCAGGAAATCGTACGATCGAGTACTACTAACCACTAAAACGTGCTTAAACCCCTTGGTTCAAACTACCAAACTGCAGGAGCTAGCGCCACTTCAATTGACTAGAGTACTAGAGGCCACCCAGAGTGGAAGAATGGCTTTTCTAGCACAACCAATGGAAAGAGCCGTTTCTTGGCTTTGAAATGGGACTTCATGCTTCCTGCGAGAGACACCCACGCATGCGCTTCGCGCGCTCTGCGGGCCGACCAACCAGCGGATTTGATCCCACAGCCTTGCTCCTCGCTTCTGCTGTGAGGCTGGCCTGACCAGTTCACATCCTCATCCGGCCCTTGGGGTTTTGATAGACTTGGAGCTGCCGAAAGTGATTGACCTAGTAGGAACATGTCGAGGACTGCTACATGAACGCTTTGCCGCTTTGCGAGACAGAGTTCTGGTGCACCCCTCTGTGACTCACTGCAGCCACAACGAACTGGCGAGGAGTCTTTGCCTCCGCCTGCATCTCGTCCAAGACTGACACCTTGGGCTGCATTTAAGGATATGATATACACTCCTGAAAACTAACATAGACCCTGACAATGGTCCCATGGAAGACCAACCAGTGGTTTTCAGGTTCCATGTTAGTCTTCCAGGGTGTAGGTCAGCCTCAAAAACCCAGGATCGAAACCTTGAGCAAATTTCTCAGACCTCAGACAATATCATGAAACCTCCAAAGACAACATGAGCTGATTCCTAAGACCTTGCATTCACTGCATCTTCCTGCGTCGTTTGGGGTTGGGTGTTTTTTGTTCCAGGTTCGGTGCTTTCTGGGAAAGTAAAACAAGTAAGACGGAAGAGAAACCTCCAAACTGGGAACAGAAAAGACTACTAGGGAAGGAAGAGAAAGCACCAAACTGGGAACAGAAAACACCCAACCCAAATCCTCCTACTAGGAAGGAAAACTGTGCGTGCGGGAGTGGAAAACACCAAACCAGGAACAAAAATCCCGGAGTCCCGTCGTTTGCATGCTACCTGCTCCTGAGCTTTCACGCCAAGCATTCGCCCACCATAGAGCCTGAAATCAAATGATCACTGCACTGCAGCGCCCCTGAATTGTCTATTTGCTCGCAGGATCTCGCAGGTATGAATGAGTTTGCCCTGTCCCGCCTTGTGCCGGGCCGCCGGCCTCTTTCGCTTCAGCATCTTCCATGGTCGCTGAAGTTCGACTTGTGCGTAAGCAAACTCTACCCATCTGATGTAAAAGACTCCATTGAGGATGGATTCTCCATGGATTCAACTCTGCTTTGGATTCAATGACCACTTTGCAAGTTACCGATTGTCTGTGACACAAACGTCGCCCGGTCACTGTGTGTAGATTCCTCCGGGGCCCATCAACCACTAAAAGGCAATGATTCCTCTAGCCCAATTTGTTCAAAGGCCATGAAATGCATTGAAATGCTGGTTTACACAAAGGACAGCAATCGACACATTGGTCAAAAGGTATCATACAGGTTACATGCCCACCCGAACATCCATAACATGAAAAGAATAGCCTGAGAATGTTGATCTACGATCTCGGGTACTCGATCTCGATCTTGCATGCTACTCGACCCTGAAATCTTGTTCAGTGTTGAGCCCACATAGTATATAGTCTTGAACTCTGTCGGGCATCGAAAGACTACAAGAGGATTTACCATATCATCCTGCTTAATATGTAATTACGCATCCAAAGCCGCCTCTATCAGCAGTTGTTCCTCGTGGCATTTCAAAGGACACTCGTAAACAGTGATGAAACCTTTGGGTTGTTGTTTAATCGCTATGAACATCTGTTCATTCTCTTCTGTGTCTCACAGATCTGTGGTTATCTTTCGTTCTATTTTCATTGTCGCCAGCGCGCCGGCTGCTGGGCGCAGCTGGCCCAATGGATTTCCTGAGCTTCACAGGCGTCACGACAGCAGCCGTTCAAACATCGTAAGTGGCCAGTGCTCCTACCATGTTCCACATGGGAGCCAAGATGGGTCTGTTGCACCCATGTGTTCCTCAGTATTCCCGGATTGACCACTTGGATAAGATGGAGTCAACCTCTTGCAAACTAACTGGTACAATAGCATAGGGCAACCAGATTCACCCAACAGTGCAATGGTTCTGCATGTAGTCCAAAAGCGAAAGCAATTACTAATATCAAACTAATTATGTATATATATATATAATATATATGTGTGTGTTTCTTTTTCATCCCGCACTCAATCGGAATACAAACAACACTAGTTGGTTTTCCAGTATCGGTCAAGTTGGTGATGCTGCCGCCTGCGGACCCGTCCGCCCGAGGACCCCAAAATCACCGGTTCCAAGCCGCATCGCATCCGCTGCCGAGGTGGCAATCCTCGTGCCCAAGGAGGCCTGGGAGGTGCACACACACATGGTAGCAACAGCTCCCAGCGCCTCCGTCTGAGGGCTCCTAGTAGCGTTCTTGCTCCTAGTAAGGCCAGGAGCGCCTAGTAGCGTCCTTGCTCCTAGTAGCGATGCCAGGAGCCCCTAGTAGCTTCTTGCTCCTAGTATTCCTGAGTTGAGAAAACGAGGGAGCACTTTGATGTTCTTTTTTGTTGTGTTTATGGAATTCGGTCTTTGCCCTTAGCCCTCAGCGGATTTGAGTATATTTTAGTAGTAGAGCCCTTAATTTTGATATATGGTTTGATGTAGCCAAGACTGGAAGTCGGTCAGTCAGACTTGTGGGGATATTGGATGTGACAAACGCACAACATTGCTCCTTGGGACATGGCGATATTGGACAATCAGAATTGAATCTACACGGGATAGCTAGGAATTGCGAATCCACTTGCACAAATTCTCAATGAACATGTACCTGACATTACCCCGACTCCCTGCTCTCTGCATGCGATACTGTGGCCACCCACAAACTGTCTTTCCTCTGACGTCGGCCCCCACCTGACGTCGGCACGGCGCGGGCATTTGGGCAGATGATGCAAACTATTGCCGAGTGCCTCTGGATGGTGAAGTGGTATCTACCTTGGCGCGCTTCTTGAACCAACACACCTTTGCCCACAGTTCTGGATGAAGTGCTTATGCCGGATGCCATATGCCTCTGCTGGGTTCTCCCGCGCGTCGAGGAGATCCTACTTGGGGACGTGGTCTGGCGTAGCCTGCCAAGCTGACATTTTCGCCGGCCACACTGCAACAAACTGTCGGAACTTTGAGTGACTTTGACGCCAAAAGCGTTACATGGAAGAAAACTCTTTCCGCCCGGATCGGTGACTCGGTACTCAGTCTTGCCCGGTCTCGCCTGGATTGAAGCGAGACTCGTCCATCTCCGGTCTTCTGATTTGGTTGTAGCGACTGGGATAGCCGCCACCCCCAGGTCGATTGCGTGCCCCACCTTGGGCATGAAACTCCAGCCACCTCAAAGGCGGTCACACCTTGGGCCTCCTTGGGCCTCCTTGGCACTTAGCCTGAAAGAAATACCACTCATGTATACAGACTGAGTCAGTTTGCCTTGGAGACTCCAGTGATCGAGACAACCAAACTCTGCCCGGAAAAAAGAGACAGAAAAACTGCCAGTAGGATGAGTTGTTTTCAATCACCAAGGATTCAGGAGCCACGGGCAAAAGGGAAACTCAAGGGAAACGCAGTACAAGTCGATCTAAATGAAAAGGCATGTCTGAGATCTTGAGAAGTTCTTGTGATATGTTGGGTGATGAATCATAGTCAACAAAATTTAGATCGTATTATATATATATATAACATCTCATGCTCAGGCTGCAACTCAGGAATTTCCGCTGATTTCATGTCCCTGATAGACCTTGGATTGGCACGCGTGTGGCAGTAGAAATGAAACCACCAGCATGCCCTTTGTTCCAGGCTGAGGCAGCTACTTGAGAATGTCTCTCAAAGCTGGTTCCCAGTTGCCAATCAAAGAGGTAGAAAGCCCAGTGTTCCTGCCAGCCAAAATACAGAGGCCGTCAAAACTACGCATGATTAGCTTTCACACAGCGAAACATCAGAAGAGAATATATATGTCCCGATAGATCCGATAGAGTAACAGGACGAGGGAAGGATAGATAGGGGAAGGGAGAGAAAGGTGAGTGAGTGTTGGTGCAGGGTATACGTGTGTGAGATTGTGTGGTGTGTGTGTGTGTGCTCGTCTGGCGTGGGTGAGTGTAAGTTTATATGTGGAAGGTTGTGCATGGAAGGAGGTGTGTGTAAGTAGGGGTGTGTGTGTCCACCTCTGTAACTAAGAGTTTCAACTTGTCATAGCAGGGGGACGGGTCACCACCGATACTGCCCGTCCAACGAAGAGGGTATCGGTTGGTGCTGAAGCAGTGGAGGACGGTCCACTGTGTACCTGCATCAAACGCAATGACTCCACTGGTTTCCCTTGCCGCTGTTGGTTTGTTTCCATGGTGGTTCTTCGCATGATATCCCGCAAAACAGGTTTCCTTGCACGGCGTGAATTCAGTCTGCTAAGTAATCAGTAACTAGTTTTCTGCAGTCACGCGTCAACCTTTGTTAAAACACTTTCAAGTACTCAGACTTTTCGCCTTTCGGTTCACTCTTTCCTTTCCTAGGTCTGCTAAGTATTCAGTAACTAGTTTTCTGCAGTCACGCGTCAACCTTTGTTAAAACACCTTCAAGTACTCGGACTCTTCGCCTTTCGGTTCACTCTTCCCTTTCCTAGGTCTGCTAAGTATTCAGTAACTACTGTTCTGCAGTCACGCGCAACCTTCTGTTAAACAATACTGTTCTGTGGACTCTTCCACCTTTGTGTTCCCTCACCATTTTCCACTTGGGAATAGATTAACTGAAAACCAATGTCAGAGTGTGAACCGCTCAGTCGTCCCACTTGGGTGCAGGGTGTGATCTCCCGCAAGGGAGCGCTGTCCTCATTCCGGATTACCATTCACTGATTTTCTTCCGTTCTGCACACGTTGGATTCTCTTAACGGACTCTGTTTCACTTCTGGATTCCCAAAGCCCTATGCCGTCGGGCCCGCGACAACATTTCCACCGGTGCATTCATTGATGTCGCATTTTGTCCAGTTCCTTCGACATGTCCATTTGCGACTCACTTTCCACGCCGCCGAGCTTACGGCCATGTATATGTGTCACACATGCGACTCACCTTCCACGCCGCCGGGCTTACGGCCATGTATATGTGTCACACACGCACCTCCACGCACCGCCCCCCCACCTTGCAACCGAATTCATGTTTCTATCCCACCCGCTATCTAGGGTTACAGAAGGAAATGTACTCGACACACTTGTGTGTCAGTACCTTTCCTTCTGTTTCTCCTTTTCTTCTCCTAGCTACCCGGGCGGTTTAAGACGAATGTCCCGCTCGCTAACTAATGCATCTAATTCATTTCGGCTAAGTATTCAGTAACTAGAAGGTTTCATAACTAGTGGGCCTCGTAACTACTCCTATTTTTCTCTCTTGCCCTCTTCGTTTGCTCTTTTTGTGTTTCCTTGTCTTTCTTTCTATATAAGGCTTTTGAGGTGTTTAGTAAGTTCCTCCAGAGCGCCGATATCGGCACTCTGTGTGTGTCCACCTCTGTAACTAAGAGTTTCAACTTGTCATAGCAGGGGGACGGGTCACCACGGATACTGCCCGTCCAACGAAGAGGGTATCGGTTGGTGCTGAAGCAGTGGAGGACGCTCCACTGTGTGCCTGCATCAAACGCAATGACTCCACTGGTTTCCCTTGCCGCTGTTGGTTTGTTTCCATGGTGGTTCTTCGCATGATATCCCCCAAAACTGGTTTCCTTCCACGGCGTGAATTCAGTCTGCTAAGTAATCAGTAACTAGTTTTCTGCAGTCACGCGTCAACCTTTGTTAAAACACCTTCAAGTACTCGGACTCTTCGCCTTTCGGTTCACTCTTTCCTTTCCTAGGTCTGCTAAGTATTCAGTAACTGGTGTTCTGCAGTCACGCGTAACCTTCTGTTAAACAATACTGTTCTGTGGACTCTTCCACCTTTGTGTTCCCTCACCTTTTTCCACTTGGGAATAGATTAACTGAAAACCAATGTCAGAGTGTGTGTGCGTCTGTGTGAGTAGCGACCCCGAGCGGCAAATTGCAGAGGAGAAGCGGCTGCGACCAAGGGGAACCAGCGCAAACCAACACCCTAGAGAAGAGCAAAACGCAGCCGCGTGTAAGTTTGGTGTGAGTGAGTTGGGTGTGAGTTGGGAAGGAGGGGCGGGGAGGCAAAGGGCGCAGAGGAACGGAATGACCGGAGAAAAAGTAAGAACCCCACACTATCCCACACTAGCGATGGCCTCCAACCTATTAGCGATGGCCTCCAACCTAATAGCAATGGCCTCAACTAGCTTGTGGGGAAAAAGAAACGAATCTCTGCTGTGTTCAGATCATCTTCAGGGTAGAGAGACAGACCCGAGCAGCTAAGTTGGTCCAAAGCAATGAGCCACTGCCAGTCCCGATGCGGCCCGTTCGGCCGATGCGGTGGGTGTAGTCCTGGGAAGGGTGGCAGTGTGTTTCTTTTCTTTTGAAACTGACATAAAGTAGCTTCTTGCTCCTAGTAGCTTCTTGTTCCTAGTAGTAAGAAGCTAAAGGCCCCTAGTAAGAAGCTAAAGGCCCCTAGTAGCGCCCTTGCTCCTAGTAGCGATGCCCTTTGCTCCTAGTAGCTTCTTGTTCCTAGTAGTAAGGCCAGGAGCCCCTAGTCCTTGCTCCCAGTTCCTGTAGTAAGGCCAGGAGCCCCTAGTAGCGTCCTTGCTTCTAGTAGCGATGCCCTTTGCTCCTAGTAGCTTCTTGTTCCTAGTAGTAAGGCCAGGAGCCCCTAGTCCTTGCTCCTAGTAGCGATGCCCTTTGCTCCTAGTAGCTTCTTGTTCCTAGTAGTAAGGCCAGGAGCCCCTAGTAGCG